TTAATCACCACCATCATCACCATCTACTTAATCACCACCATCATCACCATCTACTTAATCACTACCATCACCACCACCTGCATCACCATCTACTTAATCACTACCATCATCACCATCTACTTAATCACTACCATCATCACCACCTGCATCATCACCACCATCATCACCACCTGCATCATCATTTCCATAAGCTTCACATCATTATCACCATCATTAATTTATTTTGGTCAAAGTAATAATTTTGATCTGTTATTTTACAGTCTGTAAGGAAGTTCTTTGTTAATCCTGAAAATTCACTCAAAGGAATAATATTAAAGGTAAATATATCTACAGTTGTAATAAATGCTTTTAGGCAGCAAATTGAGATTTTCAATGAGAGAATTGATGTCTCATATATAAGCAAGCAAGAAAATAAATAAATAAATTTTCGATTTTAATATGAAGGGTCATACTAAATATCTAATTAATGCAAATGAAAATTTCTTCCTCCGTGATAGAATTGTCAATGTTATCTGACTATAACTTTTTTATTGATGTTTATTGTTTGTACTCTAATACCCCATTCACACCTCAACATGTTTAGTTAAACTATGTTTTCATTAGGGAAAAAATTGAGAAACTAGAAACCTACAATATAATGAAACTTTCTAAAATGTTGTCAGAGCAAGACAAAGGATAGTTTACATGCATTATTTCACCAAATATTGTGCAGTGTTCATAGATAGCTTTACAAACCTGTTTAGTTAAACCACTTTAAAACATGTTTAAGCCTTGTTGTGAATGGGGCATAAGACCTTTCCAACATTTGTTTAACTAGAAAAGTCTTGAAGAACACTTAAGAGAAATCAGCATAGCAACATCAAATACCAAAAGGAACAAAGGAATGTATAGAAATCTACTGTTTTATGGTCCTCCTGGTACAGGAAAAACTATGTTTGCTAAGGTGAGTAGATTAGTGGCCCAAGATAACTGCTTTTATTATTGCTTGGCTATTAATGGTCAAGCTTGTCACAAGGTTTTTAGATAGGGGGAAGTCCTCATATTCTTCACTTTTTATGGTTGAAATAGCATTGAAACACCTTTAAACTACCCCTAGTAGCAGGGAGTAAAGGGTTTTTTCTTGTCCATCTGGTGCTTTAAGTAGAGAAGGGGGTAGGGGATGGAGACAGTCTCTCTCCACAAAGCGCTGCTTTGCAGGCTAGAATCACTGGGGTATATTTCTGTTTCAATAAATTGGTTTCTTTGCTTATTTACACAGATTTAACAGTCCCTCTTCTCCCTTCAGACTCTTTCTCTCATGTTTAAGCATTTATTCTAACACAAAATGAAAATTTATGACTAATACTCAGTCCACAACTGCACTGTATTCTTATTTCTAAATGACACCTTGCAGCTCTGTACAGCTGATGGACACTTTTGTTGTTATTCTAATCTCACTTTACCGAGATGGAATATAGGAACCGCTAACTGTTTGATGTTGCATGTTGATCTTTCCTTGTCTCTTAGAGTCTTGCAAAGAACTCAGGTTTGGATTATGCCATCATGACCGGAGGAGATGTGGTACCCATGGGGAAAGATGGAGTAACGGCTATGCATAAAGTCTTTGACTGGGCTGAAACATCACGAAGAGGGTAAATATACAGATATGTATGGGCGGATCCAGGGGCGGTAAAAGGGTTGACTAATCAACCCTCTTATGCAAGGAGTAACGATAATTGATTGCTTCTGATTCATTAGCCATTGATGAAAAAATGTGGACCATGTTTAAATCGAAATGTAGTCAGATGTATTGCGTTTCACCCCCCCCCCCCCTTTTTTTTTTCGAGAAGGAAAACCCTTAAAAGCATGGGAGAGAATACCAAACTCTACTTATATAATAGGGAGTCTAGATATCAAACCCTTGACTACGATAGATTGATCTTTGTGTTTCATATTCAGCTTGCTTTTATTTGTGGATGAGGCAGATGCTTTCCTGAGGAAGAGGAGTCAGGTATTTCAAATTGATCATTTTACCCTGTGTTACTACGATTCTCGTTTTTTATATAAATCTCTCCGTTTCTGACTATATCTTTCAGCTGGAACTGTAGGTAAGAAGTAAAAACTTCGTTTATCCCTATTTGATCGATTAGAACATCTGTAAACCGCACGAAAATTGACCATTTCTGCGAGTTAAACGCTTTTTTTACTCTGTAGTGTTTCACGACTGCTTGTCCACTGAGTTCGTCCTTGACGACGGTTGTCAAGGAAGGTGAATCCGATCAGGGGATGGGTGCACGGTAGACTGCAAACCGTATACGTTGTCTTCATTCTCATGATTTAGCATAATTGATTGTAAATTAAGTATAAATTTTATCAAATTATTTTCATCTTTAGGAAAAAATCAGCGAGGATCTTCGGAGTACCTTGAATGCATTTTTGTACCGAACAGGAGAGTCGTCTCGCAAGTGAGTATCGTATTCTTCTTCAGTACTGTAGCTCTTATAAGCGTTACATCATAACTAATATACAGAACTTTTCATTTTGGACGTAATGCTTTCTTATTTTATATCGCTTTTAATTCCTATTTTACTAGTCTCCTACGCAGCCGCTATTAGTGTCGTCACGCAACGCTCACTCCCCAAATAGCGGCTGCGTAGGAGACTACTATTTTACTTACGAGGCTTTGAAAACAAAATATCAGTTTGGGTGCAGATAAGGGAATGGATGACACATGGTTTGAGATCAGTAAACAGTTTTCCTAAGATAAGAAGGTTTAGGACTAATGTCAGTCAAATGTCGAACTTCACATGAGCCAAACTTAATGACTTCAAAGAAGACCGCCTGTTATCCATTGTTTCGATTAGGTTCGGCTCATGTGAAGTTCGACGTTGACCTGAGCCTAGCTCTATTTGATTGGGATTTTGATAAATTTGGAAGAAAGAACTCATTTTTATTAAAGTAAGCTTGGACAATGATGTATTGAGCATCGTAATCAAAGTAGTAAGTATACACTTATTTCAATAAAGTTAGTCACCTGAAAAGCTACAAAGCTGAGACCAACAAGGATTATGGTTGGTTACATTTTGCATGTTTCAACCGCTTTAATAACTGTTGATGGATTTTAGATCTTTTACCAGTTACAGTCTCACCTCTCCTGAGCACCCTCAAACTGCAAATTGTATCAAAAGCTTTACTTGTTTGATATTAAATGTTTCCCATGATCCTCAGTGATCTCAGCTTTCTAGGTTTTTTGGTAACTAACTTTATTGAAATAAGTGTATATGCCCTTCAAGAGTTTGAAACTAGAGTTGAAAATAGCTCATTACCGCTTGCGCTTATCCTAGTTTCTATAGCACGATGTGAAAGAGAGTAGAAAACATGTGCAGTTATAAAGCATGCGCGGGATGGCAGATGACAAGGAAGGGGTTAGGAGAAATACGACAGAAAATGCATATCACAGGAAAATGTCAGGATCGTCCTTACAAAATGTCATTTTTGGATAGGAGTTACGAAATAGAAGATGCGCGCGTGTGCTGTGTACTCATAAAACACGTGCCCACAACCAATCAAAACGCGAGATTTAACGCTGAAGGCAACGGAAACCGATACACTAGTCAGGGCGCGAATATGCCTCATGCATGATGACGTTTTATTTATACCTACACTTCCACAAGTTAATATCAATATATCTTTTGAAAAGGATTGTGGTAGTTGTGGTATGAAACGTCATTAGTGTTAAGTTACTATTCTCAATCAGTCACTAATTCTGTCATGTACGTGATGTCAAGTTTCTGAAAGCAATTCTTATACATTAATTTCTTGTCTAACGCTTTTATTAACACTGTTAGATTTATGCTAGTGTTGGCCAGTAACCAGCCAGACCAGTTTGACTGGGCCATTAATGATCGTATAGACGAGCTGGTTGAGTTCGACCTGCCTGACACCGATGAACGCGAGCGTCTCGTCAGACAATACTTTGAAGAATATGTTCTGAGACCTGCCACAACTGGTTCAAGAACAGGGTAAGCCGGCAGGGACTGGAAACAAGTTGAAGTTACTGCACCCATAGGTTGTGACGTATTTCCTGTTCCAACTTCCCACAAAGCCCACTAAAATAAACATGTTCTCTATAATTTAACCTCCACATAAAACAATAAGAACTTCGACAAAAATATCCTTTCGTGGAGAAAAAATAAGAAAAATCTTCGTAGAACTGCTTTTCATTTTGGAACCGAAAGTCGAGTGACGTCACTTGAAATCTTAAAAACTTTTAAATGTGACGTCAGACTTTTCTTATTTTCTCTTCATGACATGATTTGCTGTCCAAACTAGTTCTGATAGTCCCCTTCACAGTTCCCTGCGCCATCTTGAAAGGTAACCGTGCCTTTGCATCGAAGCGAGACTAACTGTGAGCTTCCAATGATAGAGACATGTGAATAATTGTCCAAGGTGTTAAAAAAGGTCTATCATTGGAAGCTCACCGTTCGTCTCGCTTCGATTCAAAGGCACGGTTACCTTTCAAGATGGCGCAGGGAACTGTGAAGGGGACTATCGTTTCAGGGAGAGGTTAAATTATTAACAATATTTTCACTTCTTCATTTTTGCGCTTTTTTGCAAGCAATCTGGCAAGGCAAAGATTTGACCAGACAGTTCCAATTCTTAGACATTCAATCTGGCTTGTTTACTTGTTTAGCTCTTGCTTTTTTCTGATTTTTTTATTTTTTTTATTTTTATTTTTAGGCGGTTGAAGATCGACAACTTTGACTTTAATTCAAAATGTCATCAAATTGCTGAAGTGACTAAGGGTCTGTCAGGAAGAGAAATAGCGAAGCTTGCAATTGCTTGGCAGGTAAGCTTTATTATTTGTTAGTTTAAACATGAACAAGATTCTCTGAGACGACATTTTTTTAGCGTACCCTACCTTGAGTTTTCTCTAACAAATACAGTAAGAATCTTTCATAGTTTTCGTCGTTTTTATACACTCAATGCACCCTTCTTAAATTGTTTCTTGAATGCGATGCTAACCCTGGATTACAAAAGAAATTTCACAAATTCCATCGAAAAACGGTTTAATTCTTTTGCATTTTCATGTGAGCCTCGCATCCTCGAGTTTTCCCATTACAAATGCATTGTCGAGCTCAAAACAGAAGCTGAGAGCGAAAGGTATTCTGGGAAATGACTAATATCTTCTGATGTATTCATTTGATATACACAGTCGATATGAAACGTGTGTTAAAAGCCTACATGCGCGCTCTCTCTGTCAGTGAAACAATTTATGAACTTTCAACGAGTTGTATCACTAGATACATCTCATCAACGTACTTCCCATATGCCACTTCGATTTGGTTTCAGCTTCTATGTTTTGAACCCCACAACGATTTTGCAATATGCCTGAAGCGAGATGACGTCTTACCCCCGCCTCTAGACCATAATCCTTTTCACATTGCTTTTGTTCTTTAATAGCGCATCGCGCTGATTCTAAAAATAGCTTAAAGATTCGGACTAACATTGCATTCTGTTTAACCGCTACGAGGATTATACGAACCGATTTTATTATTTTTACTTAAAGTTACAATATTAACCCATGTAAACTTAGATCAACTGCGATCGGCTGTGAAAATTATCTGCTGAAAGTAAACTTGTAAGTTTGTTTGTCCGAATTTCGCCTTTGTCTTCGTTTTTATGACGTCACGGCTGCGCTGCGCTATTATGACTATTGCTCCTGTATTCTCTAAGGAATGAAAAATTTTAATATGAACGAATTTTAAAAGCTATTATGGTATAGAGTCGGGGGTAAAACGTCATCTCGCTTCAGGCTTATTGAGTATATAAAATAATGAAGCCTTAGATTTTTGAAGAAGGTAAAGGAGAACTTTCATAGCGTCCAAAAGGTTGGACATGCATGGCCGGATGTCTGAAACAATACCCGCACCTACCCCTCCCCCAACGAAGCAAATGGCGAAACCAATATCAAAGTTTTTTCCTGTCTTTTATTCAGGCGAGTGCTTATGGGTCGAAGGATGGTATGTTGACCGAGGAAATCATGGACGAACGAGTAAAGGAAGCCGTTAGGCAGCATAAACAAAAAGAGGACTGGCGCCAAGCCCCTGCACCAGGTTTCTCTAGCCCCGAAGATGTGCCTACCATGCCCAAATTTGGTAAAGTTTAATCAAGTGCAAGAATTTTGTGAAGATTTGCCACGAAGATTACACACTTGTGGAACTATGGTTTCCGGGTTACCAGACGTTTTAAAAATCAAATTTTCATATTGGTGGACGTTGATTCTGATAATGCATTTTACAAGACATCAATTTTAAAGGAGTGAAAGAAACATAACTTCTTCCCATGATGCAGAGGGAATAATTTTTTCTTGATTCAGGATGACGTCAGGACGTCCTCTAATGTAACTCTTGTCAAATGTTTAGGAATTCATTCTTACGAATAATATGGGAAAAATAAAGTAAATTAAACATTGCTAAGTGTGCATAATTTCTATAGGTTTTTAGTTAACCAAAGCGAAATATTTTTCCTGTGTTAAAGTGCACATGAACCCTTCGACAATACTTTCAGTACTAATTCTGCATAAAGTAAATAGTTGATTGGTAAAATATTTCTTGATTTGAGTGATGCGTCTTTAAGTTATGAAGGTTTATACTTCCAATATGTTAATGATGATGACGTCAGGTAAGGTATTTGAGTGTTTTTGTTGTAACTAGTAATACTAAATGCTGGCCATTTTGAAGATAAAAATTGTAAATAGCTTTCATGTAAACCATGACTAAAATAATGATGCTTTTTAAATACTGTTTCTATGAACCAGTTCGATTTTGTATATTTAATTAAGCCTTAATAGACGTCACACTCATTAGCATATTGGAAGTATAAACCTTCATAACTTAGAAACGCATCACTCAAATCAAGAAATATTTTACCATTCAACTATTTACTTCGTGTAGAATCAGTACTGAAAGTATTGTCGAAGGGTTCATGTGCACTTTAAGGCGCGATTATACGGAGCAATTTTCTCTGAAACCTGTCTCGCAACCGCGTTGCGACACAAGTTGGATGGAGCATTGCAGCGTCTAACCTACAGCGCAATATGAAAAATGTTGCGAGACAAATTGCAGCAATCGTTGCGTGTAGACACTCTTGGAACTTGTGCTCCGTGTAATCGCGCCTTTTTAAGATTCTGTTACACCTTGCAATTTTCTCAGCAACTTGTCTCCATTGCTTGAAAACGTAGCGTCACAAGTTGCCGAGGTGAGGTGTTAAGGTCCTGTTACACCGGTGCAAAGCCGTTGCGAGACCAGTTGCTGGAGAATTGCACAGTGTAACAGGACATTTAAAAGGAAACATTCAGCACGACAACCTCCAAATGGCTTTATTTTTCATAACGAATGAACTACCTCGACGATATAGCGGCCATCTTGGATCGCAAGGCATTATTGGGTGGCCAGGGGGCAAAACAAAACAAATATAACAGATGATATATAATCACGTGTGTTTGTATTTCTTGCATAGGTAGTGATAGATGTGCTGTCTTTTGCTGTAAGGCGATTTAAATTATATATCACCATTTTTTTTTCAAACGAAAACGCATCAAAAATACCTGGCCTTATGTTTTTCCAAATGCTTGCACAATCTGGTCTAATTTTTCGTATCAGCCTTTGTTGTATATTTATTTCTAATCATAATTGGGACTTTTTGTCACCAAAAATCGTTTCTTGAATAAATACGGCCACAATCGATATCAAAAGAAAAAGCGAAGCCGATACTCTTTCCCAAGTAACTGTCAGAACACCAATCTTGAACCCCGATGAAGGCGCCACCTGATTTAGGTAAGTTATATATTTTTCAAATCTAAAGGAAGGAATTTTTCGATTCCGCTGCCATTTTCCTACTGCTTTGATGGATCCTCTAAAGACTTTTCGTAATATCTCAGCATTATTCTGCGTGTTGATTGGTTCTCCTACTGACACGTGACCCTTATCGGGGAGATGAATGCGCATGTCTGTACTTGGCGCTACTTTGGTTTTAAACCTATTGGTTATTGTTTCCTTGTCTTGTGTATCTGTGGCGGTCTCCATGTCAGAATCCGAGTCACTACTGTCCTCTGGGTACTCGGCCCATGCCTTCACCACCACTATAAAGTACCAATGATATTGTTTAGTGACCCAGGCCGCGGTGCACAATGGGTAGACAGCGAGGATCAGAGGCATTAGAGCGTGCCAAATGTARATTCGATAGCGGTTTTTGTAAAGGTAAAGATACGCGTTGACCATGATGGACAGAAGGGTAAGAGACAGCAAAAGAAACAGAAGAGCCTTTGAAGATATTGATAAAGATACATTAAAAAAGTCATAAAATCCTTATTTAATCTTTGAAAAAATCATGAAATCGTTTTGACCATAACCTTAAGGCATAACTTTTAAACCTATATCTTTCCCGAGCTTACCTGTAGTTGTATTTGTATATATTTTAGTTTATTTTTAGTTCGATACTTATTTATATTTGGAAATTAATTATATTTGGATATTTCTTTTAAAATTTTTGTATACATTATACATTTTTCAAATAGTAATTTGTAAACTGTAACTGTCACACACTGTCACTATCTTTTTTTTTTTTTTTTTTGCTCGATCGGTAGATGACACAAACGCAAGTCAACCTATACAGAGTTGGGAGAAAATTGACGTAAAAGTACAGCCGCACCCACAATAATCTTCTAAATTTTGTTACGTGGTTTTGAAACCATTTGCGCATCTTTCATTGAGTTTTGAATAGCTGGCCTTGATCGTATACGAAATACGATACAGTTATTTTAGCATATTATGATTCGGTCATATGTTTTCGTGAGCGGACGAGCATAGTCTAGTGCTATACAAATTACTATTCGATATTCCTGACTGCATTCGTCAAGTAAAGCATGATATTGTCAAGGTAAGTGCATAATTTAAGATTCTTACAAGTGACCATGGTCTCTTGGATTCTTACCAAACAAGATCTCGAAGATGTTTTGACAAACTTTATTCTTTCATCAAAGCTAGTCACAGCTTCCCTCAATGTCGGAGAATGAAACTTGCTTCGCAGTCGAGTACTGATGCACTCTAAAGAAAATGGTCAATATAAAACTGGATGACTTATCCAAGACACCTGTCTTCACACTTCTCTAGCTAGTAACCACTGATTAGAAGTATTACATGGTCCAGGGACGGTTCGCCGAAGCAAAAAAAAAACCTCCCCCCCCCCTTCTTTCCCCCCGAATTAGAAGTGTGGTTTAGAAGGTCTAATCTCAGTCTACAGAAAAGTGAAAACTGGAACAATCTCGTACCCAGAGCCTGCGTTTCTTCTGGCCTGCGGCATAGAACGAGGGCTCTGGCATAATAATATTTTTTATAGATTTCTTGGACTTCCGTTTCAAGAGCGCATGCGTTCAAAGACTTGCCAAAAATTAAAAATATTTTCCCGATTTCTAATTTTTCCTATAATCTTTACTTTGACTTTTGCTTTGATTTAGTTTTTACTCTGATTATTTTGATCGGTTATATGTCACTTTTCGAAAATTGCGCATGCGCCAAAATATGGATTATGCCAGAGCCCTCGTTCTTCGCTGCAGACCAGAAGAAACACAGGCTCTGGGTACGAGATTGAATCTCGCAGGGACTGTACTTGTTTGCGCATGCTCCTTTTACGACTACCAAAATACTTGGCGAATCATTGTTCAAATTCCGATATCAATTGGGATTAGCTATCACAAGAAAGTACGCAAGGGATTTCCAAATCCAGCTGAATTTTGGAAGTGGTTTTTCCCGTAAATAGACCTAATACGTTGTAGTGGAATATTTTCCCATTTCAGACCACGTTTGTACTCAGCACCATTAAGGCATGGCTCTTTTGAGGAAGTGATGGAAAATCAGTTATTTATTCATATCTTTGACAGTTTACTATGAATCTTTCCCAAATTTGGCTCGTAGTAGTAATTCTTCAAGGCAAGCAATTACCGCATATCTGTTACCATGGAAACCAGTTCACGTGACCACAAGACCGCCATCTTGGATTTTTAAAATAAATCGTTTGTAATCGTATTGAAACTACTTCAGAAGTCCTGAAAATCCATATTCCTTTTGATATTTACAATACCTATATGGATCTAATTGGATATCTTGGAAATTATATTAAGTTTAATTTTTAGAATATTTTTAATTTTTTGGAAAAAATAGAAAATATTCTAAAAATTAAACTTAAAATAATTTCCAAGATATCCAATTAGATCCATATAGGCATGGTAAATATGAATAGTAATCTGCATTTTCATGACTTTTAAAGATGTTTCGGTACGTTTACAAACGGCTTGTTTAAAAATCCAAGATGGCGGCCTTGTGGTCACGTGACTTAGTTTCCATGGTAACCAAGGCTCTAAGTTTCCTTCTTTTCACAAAAGACATTAACTTGCCAAGTTTGGGGAAGATTCGTAGAAAACTGGCTATGATATAGCTAATCAGTTTTCCATCTGAGAGCCATGCCTTAATGATGCTGAGTAAGATTCTTTGTTTGAATTGTTTTCAGTTATATTCATGTGTCTTCTTATGTGCAACTCTGTAGTCCACAACTGGACTCACTTTTATTTCTGTTTACGTTCGTTCTGATCAAAATCAAAGATGCGCGCAAAGATGTGTGGGAAATACTAAGTACTAACTAGAATTACGCGCGTAAAACAAACACCATTGTGAAAAGTGGGTTTCAGTTCTGGACTAGCGCAACTGTTAAACAAAGAAATTATACTCTAGAGAATGACACGTAGTCTGAAAGCTGTCGTGTAAGTATTTCATACCTTGAAATTCCACCATAGAATGTCCAGTCATTTCCATAACACAGCTAGCAATATACCAGAACAAGGCGTAGGCATACAAGACGTGGAGACCGCTAACGAATCGAAGCAAGTGAAGCAATACCTCAGCCCCATATGAAACACTTTGATCGAAAGCCACGTGGTTTGCCTTGTCGAGCCTCAAGATTACATACTGTACTGAGGACCCAGTGAGCGTGAATATGAACAGGAATAACTGTAGCTTCTGGAAATATTAAGTATTAAGTATGTGTTAGTATAAATGCATTGTCATGTTCTCAGAACAAGTGGCAGAAGTGACAGACATACTATGGTCAGCTGGAGGGAAGAAAATATGTACTTTTTGACATTGCACACGTCACGGTAAAGACATCGGCTTAAAGTGCGCGCATTCAATTTATTTACCAAAAAGCTTGTATACAGTGATGCTTTCTTTTCTCACTTGATTGCTCGTTAAAGAAGATTATGCAAAGACTTTAACTGAAGTAACTGTTTTATAGAAGGGATTTCACAAAAGTTCAATCTATATGAGGAAGATGGAAGATGGTTTTTGAAGGGGACAAAAAAGTTTTACTTGATTGAAAGGATACGATTTTCACTTAGGAATTTGTACATGTTTCTTCTGTTTGTTTGCTTTGTTTTGTTTTGTATTTTGAATCCATACAAATTGACTGAAGAATGGTAGTGTGTTATCCTATGGGGCGGAGAAGAAAAAAAGGATTGCTGGAGAAAGGAAGAGACTCCCGCGTTCAAATCTAGAAGATGTGCCACACACAATGAAATAATTACTCACAAAATAATCAAAGGTTAACACACAGCTTATACTAACCTTAATACTGGCTGTGATTCTAAGCAGAGATCTATTATACTGCCCATCCTTTTCCAGCATATCCAACCCTTTCTTCATCCAAGGGATTGTCTTAAAGATCGCAAAGTACGTTCCCAAGCAAAAAGTTAACCATTCGGTCCCTTTGACTACAGCCCAAGCGAGCCCATACTTGACATGAGACTCGTAAAAATCAAATGCAAAAGAAATAATAATGTTAAATATCCACACTAGTAGTCCAAAGATGGCTAATCCACGGTGCTTTGTGTTGTAGATGTTACCAATGAAAGCAGTTGTCAAATCTATGGTAGTTATTATGTAAGACGAACTAGTTGTTGACATTGTTTTGGCCATTATTGATCCTCGAAAAAGCTTTTTGATAGACACTTGTTCCGAGCCGAAGAAGGAGTTTATTCTGGGGCTAGGAATTTTCGAGACATCTCGTCCCAAGCTTTTTTCTGGGTTCATTTTCAAGTTTCTTCATCCTTGTAGAACATTGCAGCACCAAAACTGGTACAGTTATGCTGAATAAGGAAAAATGTCATACTGATTACTATTTTGGAATTACTATTTTGCCGGCATATTTTATTTTCTTGATTGTGTGCCATTTCATGCAAGACTGAGTCCACAAGTCTAGCTGAACTATACTTTAGTCTACTTTATAGCATTTGATTTGGGGATTTCAAAAACTAAGGTTATTAATGATTTTTTTAAAGAATGTCAAATAAGACATTTCATGTTGTATCTCGACGTTTTCAAACATATGGAAGTAAACTCCTTTGCAAGTTTTAACATCCAAGTACAGAATATGCGATATTTTAAGATAGCATTTGCTTTTGTTTTGTAGCAATTTTTCGAAAAAGAGGCAAAGTTCTAGTGTCTTGAAGTTAATTTTGGCCGAGTTAAACGAGGTACTATAGTTTCACAGACCTTAAGCGATTCATAATTTCTTCCTAACGTAAAGGTACGAATAGAGTTATTTAGTATATTTAGTACTAATCATGACCTGGTCCTTGCAGTTTTTAAAAGAGTAATTTATTTTACATCACGACTTACCATTTGTAAACTCGGCTCCTCGCTGACGATATTGTGATTTTGATATTGCCATGCAACCAACGTTTTGTAATCAAAAACGTCCAGAGAAAAACCTATTTCCTTGCTTACATGGATTAGTAATGGATTGAGTCCCAGTTTAAAACTCGATTGACTATTCACTTCACTCACAAAAAAATGCAAGAACGTTTTTTGGCTAATTTGACACTCCAAATAGACACATTATTTTATAAAACGGGAGCTTGTAAAAGTAATTTTGGCGAAGTCCATGAACAAAACCAATGATGCGGTTCTAGTAGGGTTTCAAACACCCAACTGGAACAATACGACAATATTTAAAAGTCAAAAAACATTTGACCAACACAATGAAACACAAAAAGTAGAGATACGTAACAAAAAGCCGATGTAAAGATAATAGACTGATTGGACAATAGGAGAACAGCCAATATCCAGCTATTATCAAGATAATTAATTACTGACAATCCCTTCAACCATTCACCTGCGTAAAACACGTTGGCTTGGACTTGAAATCTATATCAAAGAAAAGAATGTCCAACATTGACGACGATATTATAACAACAATGACAGAAAAAAACCTAAAATCACCTCTGGACTGATCAACTCAGGGCACGCGGGCCATAACTCACAGATCGAACCCTGAAACAACCTCTGGCTATGGGCTGATCTATGCCTCAGGGCACGGCTAACTCACAGATCGATATCAAACCCTGAAACGACCTCTGAGCTGATCTATGTCAGGGCACGGCTAACTCACAGATTAAACCCTGAAACGACCTCTGAGCTGATCTAAGACAGGGCAGGGCTAACTCACAGATCGAACACCTCGGATGACCAAAGTCAGGACAGTAGATCAAATTGGAATTTAGGTTGTTCAAGCGAGCATAATTTATGCTATTATGCTCTCTTGGATTGTTAGGTTTCGCGAAGCCGGGAAGGCCGGACAATTATTACTTTGAAGAACTAAGGAAGGGCTATTGATTTCAGTCTATTTTATTTATTTCTCTTGTTTCTCTATGATATAGTGCATGACAAATACACCTGCCCTACCCCCCACCAATGAATGCATGCTCCCTATATAGACTTTTGGGATATGTCAGGAATCTAACCCGAACAATATAATTCATACATTCAGCCATGAATACACGAATTTAACTCAAAATGGAGAAATTTCACAGTCATAACTGAAAATTAGACCTGAAATTATCTTTTTTATAAGCTGGAGCCTTAGCTGGTTTAGGCCAAGAGGTAACCAAAAAAGTGAATTAAAATGATTTCTAATGATAAATTAAGGATATACAATTTCTTTACGTCATTGTTTTAAAATGGGAACATACAGTCAGTGTCATTAACGTTGTCCACCGAAAAAAGACATTTAGACATTTA